TCCAATCCTGGAACTGCCTCCCAAAGGGTATTTATTGTGGGTCTATCTGCACCACACAAACTGCAGTAGTTCAAGAAGTCAGCTCACGACCATCTTCTCAGGGCCAACTCAGGGTGGGCCACAATGATGCCAACTTTCTCCAAATGAATTTTAAAAAAAGAATTATGTGGGACTGTTACAAGCAAAAATAGTAGAATTTGTACTGAAAATAGAGAAATGGCAGAGGAGCTAAATAAATACTTTGGACTCAGTCTTACATTTCTTTGGCTAAGTGTGAGTTGCATTGATTTTTTGGAAGGATTCCGGTCATGAGGCCCAGCTAGATTTCTAGCTGTATCTTACCAAGCAGTCCTCATAAACTATGTACTCCCACCCTATGGCACCTCTCATATCTGATTCTTGGCTGATCCTGGCACGCTCCATTCCCCCAACAGTTCACCACTCAGCTAATAGACCCCAAATTCTGACATCCCTTGCATGTGCACCATCTTGCACCAGGGCAAGTGAAATAATTCCACAGAGGCCAGTATCCCATCACCAAGTCAGCCTTTATTTCCACATGGAGAGTCCTTGGTACTGATCAAACTCCGTCAGAGTCAGCTCTGAGTGAACAGGATGTCTAATGCTCCTGTTCTTATCTGTCAGCCAGGGCTCCCTGATTGGACCAGATTAATTGACTGACCACAACCAATAATGATTTATTACATCAAAAATTAGAGTATTTGAGGATGCTACAAGCAGCATTGATAACGGAAAACAATGGCTGTGGTGTTTTGGATTTTCTGAATACTTTTTATGAAGCCCCATACAGGAGGTTAGTAAAGAAAATGAAAGTGCATGGGGTTGGGGCATGGATTAAGGATTGATTAACAGGTGAAAAATGAAGAATAGACATAAATGGGTTATTCTCAGGTCGGCTGCCTGTGATTAGTGTGGTACTGCAAGGATCAGTGTTTGGGCCCCAGACATTCACAATCTATATCAATGATGGATGTGGGGACCAATTGTAATATTTCCAAGTTTGCAGATGATACAAAACTTAATGGGAATATGTGTTTTCAGGAGAATGCAAAGAAGGTTCAAGGGGCTTAAGACTGGTTGAGTGACTGGACAGGAGCATAGCAGATAAAATCTAATGTAGATAAGTGTGAGGTTTTCCACTGTAGTAGGAGGAAAGGAGGTGAAGGATCATTCTTAAATAGTGAGAGATGGGAAAGTGTTGACGTCTATTGTATTCTTGTTTATAAGTCACTGAGAACTGACATTCAGGTGCAACAAACAATTAAAGAAGTCTTGTTTCAGTTCTATGGAACACTGGTGAGTTCTGCAGTTTCTTGCAGTTCTGGTCCCCTTGCCGAAAGAAGGCTACACCTGCGGATTATATAGAGGTGGAGTGCAGTGGAAGTTCACCAAACTGATTCCTAGAATGGGGATCTGTCATGCAGTTTGAACTAACATGGTCAGACCATATTTGGAAGATTGTGAGCAGCTTTGGGCCCCATATCTAAGGAAGGATGTGCTAATCTTAGACGAGGTCCACACGAGGTTTACAGGAATGATCCTGGAAATGAAGGGCTTGTTATATGAGGAGCAGTGGAAGACTCTGGGTCTGTGCTTGATAGAGGTTAGAAGAATGAGGGGGATCTCATTGAAACTTACAGAATACTGACAGAGATAGTAGGAACTGCAGATGCTGGAGAATCCGAGACAACAAGGTGCAGGGCTGGATGAACACAGCAGGCCAAGCAGCATC